GTAGTGATTTTAAGATATTTACGTGATTCAGAAATAGTGGATCGTTTTATTAAATACATAGATGTCAGTGCAGATCGGACAGCTGCTACTTTAAGTCCTAAAATTCTAGAAATTTTAGAAGATTATGGTTGTCTTAAGAAATTAATTGCTCAAACTTATGAAGGTATGTCTATTTTATCTTTTGATGTTTATGTTGTACAAGCTTTGGTGTGGTAAATATGTCCAGCAGCTTTGCATGTTTGGTGTTCAGCACATGTACTAAATTTAGTGTTATGTAAAACTTTCCAAGAGTCTACAGAAACGAAATACTTCTTTAGTGTTATTAAATCTATCACAGCCTTTTTTCATACAAATACCAAACGTATGGCATATTATAATAACTTTGCTGATGTGAAGAATCTGCCTCGTGTCACTGGAACCAACTGTGCAGTGAACATAATTAATAATGAGTTAACCCATCTTCTACAGATGTTTGAGGAAATTATTGAGAATCCAGAAAACTGGGATGGTGATACATTGTATCAAGCTAGTTTTTTTTTATTTTCCATGAAAGAATTTGAGTTTAATTTTATGTTAAAGACTTTTGCGGATATATTTTCAGAAACCGACATATTATATGACTTCATTCAAAAAAGCACCATTTACATTGCAAATTGTGTAAGAAAGATAGATTAGTTTGAAACATTCTTAGAACGTTACAGAGACAATTTTGATATCAATTATTATGAAACTGTCCACATTAGCGGTTTACCTAAACGAAAGCTCAATGTCGACGATGTAAAAATACATTACAAACGAATTTTTGTAGAAATAATTGATAACGTAGTTAGTGAGATAAAGACTAGATATGTTAATATTAAAAAATTGAAGTTTATTGAACTACTTTCTAGTAAAAAATTTGGTAAATACAGTGAACGATTCCCTAAAAAGGAAATCGAAGAAAATACTAATTTTATTAAAAATTGTATGGAAACTTTTAATTTCGATAAATTTAAAAACGAATTGCGGTGTATCTATAGATTGCCTGAATTTAGAAATTGTGATGCCTATAGTCTTATTGAATACTTGAACCAAAATGATTTAACTAGTATTTTTTCTGAAGCCTTAAAATTCGCCCAGCTAATTAATATGATCCCAGCAAGCAACGCATCGACAGAACGGTCCTTTTCTTATTTTAATCGTATTCACACGTATTTAAAAAACACACAAAACCAACCTCGTCTCACAGATGCATCTCTTATTTCTATTGAGAAAGCGTTATTAGTCGAACTGAAACGAAAGCCAACTTTTTATGACGATGTTTTAAAATCGTATTTGGAAAAGGATAGGCGCGAAGATTTAATTTATAAGTGAGTTTGTTAAATTTTACCTACACTGATTTCAAACTAAACGAATCGAATCATGTTAAAGGCCACGTCGGGTGTCTATCTTCTATTGCAAGGGACGTGTTCTCTAACTTCACTCACTTGGATAGATGGCTGAGGTGGCCGAATTGTCTTTCTGATTGTATAAATACATTAATACATGTAATGTAATGTCCGTTTTACTGTTATCAATTTTAGTTTATAAGTATTTTAATAATGCAACCACATACCACCATTATACAACAAAAATATTGTAATATGGTCACACAACAAAGTATTAGCTTATAAATGGTTCAGAGACCCATCAGCTCTGTGCCTAGCCAATTCAAAACGGCCTTCAATCTGACTTCTCTATAGAATTTGTACCTATCGACACACGAAATACAAATCTGTATGGCATCAACTGAACAACAATATGAAGTTTACTGTATTGCTACGAAGGAAAACTCATACGTAACAATTACTAGGCTGAACCGTAAAATAGGATCTAGTCTTGCGCAAATGGCAGATTTAAAGCAAGCTCTAAATCTAAAATGCTAACCTGATGGAGAAACATTGTGCAACGAAGAATGGAACGCGACCAAACAATTTCAACTAATCTGTGTCACTATTTAGTCTGTAATAAATTAAAATCAAGCGACGAAACCCAAACCCTCGAGCTGAAATGCAAATTCATCGTAAGAAAGTGATGCAGTAGTACCAATATACGCAAGTCTTTTATCTCAAGGAAAACTTTAAACAAATTGGATTTCTTGTCTTATGTCAGCAACATGATACGCAGCAATAACGTGCTGAGGATAATTGTCATCATGTGTGGGAAGTGTTAATATCAGAGGCCTTAGTACGAGTTTGTTTTACGTTTAAAGTAATCGTAACGAGTTCGCGTTCGGCGCTCCGATTGGTTGCTTTATTGGCGCCGGCCAATCAGAGTGCCGAACGCGAACTCGTTACGAATACTTTAAACGTAAATGAAACTCATACTAAGGCCTCTGAGTGCAACTTGTTCTGGCTTTCAAAAAGCCCAGTAAGTAAAAAACGGGAAGAAAGGTTGCTCTGCTGAGAAGATAGCAGTGTTCAGGTACATCAATCCAACCAACTTATGAGGGTACATTGACCAAATCATACTCTCGATCTCAGTCAGATTTCAGAGGCCTTAGTACGAGTTTGTCTTTCGTTTAAAGTAATCGTAACGAGTACGCGTTCGGCGCTGTGATTGGTTGCTTCATTGGTGCCAGCCAATCAGAGCGCCGAACGCGTACTCGTTTCGAATACTTTAAACGTAAATCAAACTCATACTAAGGCCTCAGAGCTGATTCCGTTGCACAGCTTGGACTTCTAATAATTTACAAAACTGGCTGTCTGTAGTACATTGTTACGTTTGAGTTGTACATAACAAGTGTGAAGTGAATGATCGCATGGACTTAAGCTAAGTTTAAGCTATATTTCACGTTGTACTTGATTCTAAATAAATCTTAATTTTGTTAGGTATCTAATGTGTAAATTAATGGGCTCTGTCCCGACTCATCAACAAAAAACTGATGCTGATGTAATTTATGAGTCCTAGTTTATTTTTATACAAATCAATGGTGTTTTAATTGTTATGTTTTCGTCTTACTCACATAACTGAGGCCTTAGTACGATTGCTATTTATTCTAAGGCCTTAGCGAGTTTTGTTTTACCTTTAACAAGATCGAAACGAGATCGCGACGTTCGACGATTGGTTGGTACATTGGAGCCAGCCAATCAGAGCGCCCTCTTGACGAGGAAGTTGACTACTTTAGTTGTCAGTAAGCTGAAAACGTAATAATTAATTTAGTATCACGAAAGTTATAATGTAAATAGTAACTAGTGTTTTGTAAAAAAAACCAAATAATGTATATTTTCGTTGTGCATTTGAAGTTACGGAGGACCCTGTCCAAGTTTGCTTTACGTTTAACTATATCGAAACGAGACCGCGTTCGGCGCTCTGATTGGCTGGTTATGTGTACTTAGACTATTTTTATAAATGTTTACAATAGTGTTAAAAATGTAAAACGCTCTTATTGCTTATATAATGTTATTTTGTTAGTTTCGTGTGATTGCGTCGAAGTTATACTGGCGGCGCTTAGGATATCACATTTAATTGAAAACGGCAATTATAAGTCGATATAAGTGAATTGAAATAAATAATGCAAATACCTAAGAAATGCTATTTTTAAACTAAATATAGTCAATGGATGTGATTACATAAGCACTACTCTGTATAATATAAATATTTATATGTACGAGTAGGTAAATACTATTTTAATGAATGTGAATAATTTTTATTTTTTTATTAAATGTACCTAAATTACTTAACTGTCTCATTTTTAACCGACTCACATACGGGTATTTTGTATTCCTAGCCGGGTGAAATTGGTAAAAACATAACATAACATCGCGCCTTTTATCCCCGAAGGGGTAGGCAGAGGTGCACATTACGGCACGTAATGCCACTACAATGTAACACCCACTTTTTCACTATTTATATTATGAGTCCCATGTAATAAGGGGTGAGCCTATTGCCATATACCGGGCACAATTCCAGACTCCGTGCTACTACTGACATTTTTAAAAACCCAGTAATACTTTGCCCGACCCGGGACTCTAATCCGAGACCTCTTGCCCGGCAGTCGCACTTGCGACCACTCTGCCAACGAGGCAGTTGGTAAAAACAATTTCAATATTAAAACAAAAATGAATACTATAAAATGAGTACTTACCAAAAACACCTTCATTGTAATTACTCATGGTTTAGTAAATAAATATATCTCTATTTCTCTATCTCTAATACTAGTCAGCGAGTCAGATAGGTATTGAACACTCAACGACCCTTTTCAGACTCGAGCACAAGCGCCGTAGCTAAATAAACCAGTCAATCGCATGCGCTCGCGTCACTTACCTGGCTACATTAAAAACTTAGTGCGTTTGAGACCTCATTGCTTTTTTATAGTGAGTTATTTAACCAAAACTAATGGATCATCATAATACAGGTACCTAAAAACCGTTTTATTTATTAACATTTACTAATGTTTACATTTGTAAGGTTCAAAATCAATTTGCAGTGAGCGTTCGCGCAGCGGAAAGTTGTTGAATTTAAAGATTTTAATTATGCAGATAATTAGTGTATGAGGTCCTATAATTGTGTATGCAGCCATTGTAGAGAAATTACGCTGGGCGAACGCTGTCCTGGCGGAACGTTTTTAAATCCATAGACTTTAGAAGAAAAGAGATGTGTTCAAAAATGAGTGTGTATTTGTGTGTAATTGTTTATGTAAGTATCATTTATTGTTATATAAAAAGTCACATTACAACTTAATCTGAAACCCTGTGTGTTATACACAAATTAGTGTTTTGGGTGTGGGTGTCATGTGTATGTGAACATGTTTGTAAATACACCCACGATACAGGAGAAAAAGCGTAGAAAAACGTTAAAAAATGAACATTCCACAAGGGCCCCGAATGACAATCATTCGAGGCCCTTGTGTAATATTATATTCGCTCGTGACATCATTTGGTGCTGGCCTGATGATGTAGCGGTTAAGCCACGCCACGGACTCAACTGACGAATAGTGGGTATTGCTTTTCACACTTCTTTCCTCAATAATAAGACAAACAAAATTGATCAGAACAGTTTCCATGCTAGTTTATTCAAATTATGTACATAGTATCTCCTATAAGCTTACATTAGACATAACCGCCGCTACAATAAGTGTTGATATTTCACTGCATAACCTCTGTAAAGGAAATAAATTTACAGAGATGAGTGTGCGATAAGATTTTGAAGTTTCGGAACCAAAGATTTATACCAATTTTCTATCTTTATTATACAAATATTAACTTTTGTATGAGGTGTGGGTTAAGCTAGACCTAAAACGCTAAGAGCGCCATCTGTGTATTTTGTTAACAGCAAGTTTATTATTAAAATTGTTAGTCATAGTTGCCGATTAGAATGAAACTATACACAATTTAGTTTGGAGAAGATACTGGGACTTTAGTGGTGATAAAAAGTGGTTTAGTATTATAAATAATTCAACCATATTTTAATCACAATCAATTTCTCAAATGAAATAGGGTATTTCATTTAATTACTTTCATAAGACGCCGTTATGAGCATAAATCTTTGGGCCACAAAGCTTCTCTCCGATAGAATACACCCAAATAGTGAGATGGAGAACATAATGATAATGTCACCAGTACATATGGATGCCTACTGTCTGCATTTTATTACAATTTTTAAAATTTCATATATTCATAAAATTTTTATACACTCAAATACAAATTAATCGTTCGATCTTGGCCATTAGACCATCGCGCATCGCTTATAAATTAGTAATATTTTTATTTAAATAACATTGTTAAACTAAAATGTTTTCGCTATTAAATATTGGAATCTAACCTATTGCAAAGCGTAACAAAAATTATCTTTTGAGAATCTAACTAATCACTAAGCCTTATAGCTTCAACTCTATGAATTACAACCAAAATGGCATTGTTTTGTTAAACAGCCAACTATTTATCAAAGTCTATTTTAATACATAAATACTTTTTAATTTATCGGAAAAATTATGAATAAAATTTATAGTTGCGTTTTTTTTTAATAAACTAAACAAAGTTCAACAGAAAGGAATTTGTCTTTCTCATAACAGTTGAGCGGGAAACAACAATAATCTATGCCTATATGAGGATGTTATGTGGCTAATACATGATGCAGAGAACATGTTACAAGGAAATCATTTTGTTCTACATAAAAAATATATCACAGAAAGAGATGTAGGTAGTCGTTAATCAATATAAAACCAACTGTTATTTGACTAGTATATAAAATAATGTTAAAATATAGAAAAGTAAATGAGCAAAAGTTATCTGCGACCGTGAATTATCGAATTAATATTATCATGGTTGGTTAGGTACACGAATTTTGTCAAGTGTAAAACATAGGGATACAATGCAATTATATAAAAATACTTGATTACTATCCATAATAAATATTATACGTATAAATAGACGACCACGTTAACACGAAGATATTACTTCTACCAACTACATAGGTAGACAAACAGACCAACATTAAATGATCCAATTTAAGTGATCGAAGAAACCCTTCACAGCTCACATATAGTATATGTCTATGTTATAATTATGCATTTTAGCCACCTAACATTTAATCCCTCTTATAAAAATAGACAATAATCCAGCCTTTAGCTTCAAACCACATCATTTACTTGTACAAATATTTCATATCAAAACTTGCCAATACTTCGCCCCCTATCATACAAATGAGTTTATTATTATTAACATATTTATTTTGTGTATTTTGACAAAATTATTTATGCTTAACTATACTGAGTAAAATCTGTTAGATGAACTAAAAAAGCTGTTATCTTGTTATATTCTTTAAGTAAATTTTAACAGCAATAATTCACTTTAAACATTTCATAATGTCATTTTATTGATATTGGATTAAAATTTCACACATTATTAGCTGCCAGGAATTTAATAACTCAGAATGGAGATAAAACTAACAAAAAGGCGTGCGTATTATAAGTTTGTCAAAAAACACGTTGCTAAAATTAATTAATACCTAAGCTATTCGTTAATAAGTTATAAATTGAAAGATATTTTATTAATCGATATAAATACTTATTAAGTTAAGGAAAAGCAATGCTCTTACTTCTGTGTTTCATTACCATTTGGATTTACTAAACTGTTAAGTACTCTAAGATATGAATCCGTACTTTTATCGTTACAGAATGTATTTTTTGGTTTAAATTAGAATGTATTTGTTGGAATAATAGTGACCTTTAATGCAAGCCGTCCGATAGACGTGTATCAGAGAGAGCGCAGGCAAGAAACGTTAAATGAAACTCCATTATATAATTAATAATAATTTTACTATTACAATAAGCACCAAACCAGGTTTGGAATGTTCAGTATTGCACCACATGTGAACAAAATCCAATTAATACAGTCACAATGTAAAAAACAACAATAGATAAGGATTGGGGTAGTAAAAAAATAATTCCAAATAATTAATATATTTCCATAATAAATAAATTCGGTTACCACAACACAATAAAGGTCACCATTGAGTCCAATTACGGAAGCGAATCTAAAATACAGGTGAGCAAAAACAATTAATAAAAAAAATGTTTTACAACGAACATAATTAGCCATATACTGTTGAATGTTTTGTACAAATAGTGACTTCATTGTGCATAAAACCATCTGTCATTGCACCGCCAGTCTTCCGGGAAGATCTCGCCGAGACTTCCATAATCTCAGATGATAACAAAACCTTTCACTAGGATTATTTTTTTTATTTCGTGTCGTTTTCCAAATAAATGTTCAGTAACACGATCCTCTTTGGGCAATATCAACACTTTGTAAGTAGACAGAATGAATCGTTGAATGAATTTCATTACAAAATCGACTTTATTCGGTAAGCATTGTAGTTTAAAATTGTGTTGCTATTAAAAGACTTTCTTGGACATTCTGTCAAACAGGTTACATCTTTATTTTGACAATAAAGACTGTTCTGTTTGCTTTTCGCTGCTATTTGACAGTTCACACCGGTCCACAGACGTTAAAAAATCAATATATGTGGCAATTAATTTCATTTAAGTAGTTTATTTCGATTTATTATTTGTTTTTGCCCCAAAAGAGTCGTGTTACCAACACTCACATAAAAGACTATCTAAATAAATACTTATTTTAATATCATAAAACAAATGTTACAAATAAACGCTGCGTTTTAATTAGAAAATTAAAGTCGCATTTAGTTTCGATAGAAATGGAAATGTATGATAGTTGTTCCTATACCTAGGGCTGAGACATTTGGGTATTTCGATTTTATTTAATAATATAGGCAGCAAAGATTGCAACTTTTTTTTCTTTAGAATCAATAACTAATACAGATTCGAAGTGCATTAAAGTATGAATCTGGAATGTCATAGCAAATTCAACCTTGGATCTTAACAAATAATGGACATTTTTCCTTATGAGACAAAAAAAATCATATCAGGAAATACGTGCGTTATTTGTTATGGACATAAGGGTGAATTTGCTCTGTGACGTATCAAATTTACGTTTCGATGCGCTACGACTCTGATATAGTTTGAACTGACTTTAAACCTTATTTTACGTGCTATAAGCTTGTGTTTTAGCAAAGCAAAAATGCGTTGGAATATCGGAAGTATGTGCATTTTACCTACAACATAAAAGCGATATTTAAGTTGGAATGACAAAATCTACTAAAAAAACTGCAAGCTATAATGCATAACTCTAATATTTATATAAATACTGAAGTTTCTAACCGTTTTTATTAACTTTTTTTTACTAAAATTTTTACTTTAGTCACATGTAATGCGGGTACCACACTCTCGCGTGAGTGGACAAGTGTCCGACATACATTGCAGTCTTATAATGCGAGAAGGACTACAGTCATGTTAGAATAACGACAATGTATCTCGACCTCATCTCGACTCGCACGAGTGTGGTGCCGGCATAATAGAGAGCGAGTCATTTAGACTCCATATACCGATTAATTTATAATTTATTGTCGGGAACCTCAATAACACTATGCCCGACTCGAGTAATGGGTTATTCAAAGGAGTCTCACTTTACAAAGATAATCGCTACGTTCACCAAAATTTTGATTTAACAAAAACCTAGTTTAGATATTAGCTTAACATTTCCGATTAACTTCATAAAGACTAATTTCTAGACTAGATTCATTTTAAATCAAGATGTAAGTGAACAGTTGTTCTAGGTACCAAATCTCAAACCCAAAATGTCCCGAGCCCTTTCGAGTTAATTTTACAATATTATTAATTATTATAAAATCTAAATTGTCGTTACATAATACAATCACTAATCGCCATGGTTGGTTATCGTGGCGATTCTATGCCGTGGCATGTCGACAGAGAGTTGCATACTGTGAGAATAATACTTGATAATTTTGATGAATATATTGAAATATTTTATCGGTCTGTCTAATTTGAAAAGTTAAAAAATGAAATACATTGTAACTGGAATTATAATCGCTTATAATAACAAGACAATAGACTCAATTACTTAAGTCGACTTAATTATGCGCAACTTTGCGCAAACTGAAAATTTGTTAGCGCAAAATAATACACAGAGCTTGAAATCACCAATAGACGTTAAAATATATTGAAAATTCAAGTACACAAAGGACAGCCTTCATAACAATTCATTCTGTTAACACATTTAATACTTTTTTTTACATAAAAATGTAAATTGGCAACATTAATCGCAGTGTAAAACTCTCGCCGACATTTACAACGGTTTTTGAAAGACTGACACATTACAGCTGCCTTAATAAATTATCAGCTACTTATATTCATCTATCTTCGTGTTTAAAACTATACGGGTTCGTTGTATCTACGATTATCTAGAGATTCGCTTGATTATGGGGCGGTAAGGTAAGTACTTTGTAAATGTGAATTGAAATAGCAAAGCAGTTAGAAAATCTCCTAAGGCAACACCAGTGTCTTATACTTTACGCATCTGATAATTTATCGACGAGAATATAGCATTTGAAATGTTACATTATACGCAGTCGGTTAAATATCTGATATTTGCAAACTGAAACTGACGCTGCCTTAAAAACTAAAGGACATGTCAAAAATGAGACTTATCACTATTTATTATGCGTTTGCAAGGAGAGATACGTTGGAATATTAGAGGCAATCTTTCAAAAATCCGTGTGACCACGTGTTAAGTATAAACCGAATACGTATGTCGCCGATGTAAGCCACGTGGAATCTCTTGTGTAACGTTAGCGCTTACCGAGTGGCCGACGACTGCAGTACAAGCCAGCGTGGAGGAGATATCGGCGGCGTCGGCGCCAATACGGACCTTAAGCCCGCCGCACTACGTCTACCTGGAAATATATAAAAGTAGGGTTATTTTGCGTAGACATGACTTTAATTTTCTTCACAAAAAAGGCAATTACAGTGGACACTAAGAGGATATATTAAACTATTATTACTCAGCGATCTTAACTAAAGCTGAGGCGAGACTTGTGAAGTAACATTCTGTTGGTTGTTTATAATACATATTTTCTTCGCTCGTTACATCCGCTTTGGAGGAGTTTAGGTCTTAGGTAGCATTTACGGAGTCGCGGCACTTCAGGCCGCGTCATCACTCGTGCAAACACAAACAAATGAGCAATATACGACGGACGCCCGATGCGCCACGTCGGCTTTAGTATTACTTGATTGTAATAGTTCTCTAGTGGATGTCGTGTCGTATAGCAGTATGTAAGGCACCTACCCGCGAGACTGCGCTAGCAGTCGGTGGAGGAGTTGAGGTCGATGGGCGGCGGCGGCGCGGCGGGGCGCGGCTTGGCGCGCGTGAGGCGGTCGAGCTCGGCCGCCGCGTCCGAGCGCGCCGCGGCCGCCGCGGGCGACGCGTCGCCGCGCCCCGCCGGGGACCCTGTCTTCTTGTACAGCAGCGAGTTGAAGAAGTTCGCCAGCACGCCCTCGTTGCCCGGCGTGCCTGGACCCATGCCGATCTTTGCGCCGTCCAACTGTGAGGTAAAGAGGTTAGATAAGTAACAGGTGATACATACTTAAAAATTCAAATAAAGGAGTATCTGTTTGTCTCATCTTCAACGCTGACTGTGTACAAGAAACCTAATATAATCGGCCGTATTTGCGGTTTTATTGAGCGAGTGAGCTAGTTTAACCGTGAAATGTTAAAAATTGTGTCGAAAAAAAAAACTGTGAAAACAATGTTAATTCATAAACAAGAACAACGTAAGGTCGATTTTGCGATTGCGTACTGCAACCGCAGTGCGTGTGCCCCGGCGGTTTAGCGGTTAGGCGTTTTACAGCAAAAGTCTTTGTTCAACAGTTTTTAGCTGAAGATGACCAAAACAATAATGCTAGCGTAGAAGTGGCGACCTGCGCGGCGGAGCGCTGCGTGGCGCGGAGCGGGGAGTCAGCGCGCGGGGCGGGCGCGCCGGCCTGCAGCGCGGCCAGCTGGCGCTGCAGGAACGCCTGCTCGTCCTCCGCCTGGACCTCGGCCTCGCGATTCGCCCCGCTCTGGAAAATTACATTATTAATAGTTACTAAAAATTACTTCTACACGGAAATAAATATGTTTAACGACTTGCATGACTGTTTTACGAGGTAACTCAACCAATTTCAAGCCACTCTAGGGCTTATATTCATGAGTTCGAAATCAGTTACGTGAATAAGGTACTAAACGTAAGTACGTATAATTTAATATCTTCTAAGACTTATAATACACAAATAATAATAATTATTACAGTAATAATTATTATTATTATTAAGTTTGGCTTACTCACGCAACTGTTTGACGTGGAACTTGACCAGCGCGACAATCGCAGCGTCGCGGGTCGCGGTATGCTGTTCATGAATATGAGCCTCTAGCATGGCTTGAAACTAGTCGAGTTCCTCGTCAAATAGTTACGTGAGTAATCCGTAAACATAATAATTAATTTAGTATGTCTCACAAAAGTTTTAATATAAACATAGGCAAGTTATTGTATTATAATTTGACAATAGGGTAGTTTCCTAAATTTTATTTTAATGTCCGTCTGGTACATTAATTTAATACATTAGACACGTATATTTTCTTTTCTCACAAAATTAAATACTTTCGACGATATATTAATTTGAAATATCGTGTGACGTCACAGCGTGTCACATTTTGTAGCACGTTATGACGTAACAACCTCCCACTCCTAAACTTAGCGCCATTTTATCTAAGTATCGTAACTTAATAGGAGAAAATTAAAAAATACGTGTCTAATATTTTTTCATTATCTAACTGACGGACTAATTAGATTTTTAATTTTGATACCCTGGAAACCCAGTTGAAATAATTAAAAAAAACTCACTTTCCGTATAACAGGCTGCACGATGATGTCTCTGTAGTAGTCGTCTGGCTTACAAGTCTGCATGTTCTCGTATAATATACTAATTTTCTTCATGCTGTCCCAGCCAGCCGGTCTGTAACAATTTTCCATTAGTTTATTAAAAAGATATCAATGTATTTATTTTCTGGAGTCATTGATGTAAAGCTAAAACTACTTACCGATTCTTAAGATATCCTATAAACATTAAATTATATATAACAATGTTACTGCCATACTCAAAGATTTAATTATTAACCCAGTTCTTAGCCAATTATTTTGGAACAAAAAATTAGGTTTAACGTAACATAACATCACGTCTTTTATCCTCGAAGGGGTAGGCAGAGGTGCACATTACGGCACTTAATGCCACTGTGCAATGTAACATCCACTTTTCACTATTTATGTTATGAGTCCCATGTAATAAGGGGTGAGCTTATTGCTATATACCGAGCACATTTACAGACTCCGTGCTACTAATGAGATTTTTTTAAACCCAGTAATACTTTGCCCGACCCGGGAATCGAACCCGAGACCCCTTGCCCGGCAGTTGCACTTGCGACCACTCGGCCAATGAGGCAATCAACAATGTCTTGCAACTGACGAGAGTTATCCGATGAAGGTTTTTACGAAGAGAAAGTTTTCATCATCATCATCAACAGCCTATAAATGCCCACTAATGAGCGAAGGCCTCTTCTCACACGGAGAAGGTTTGAGCATTAATCACCACGCTTGCTCAATGCGGGTTGGCGATTACAAACTTATAATTACAAAATTATAACCTCAGGTTTCCTCACGATGATTTCCTTCACCGTTTGTCAGTGGTGTCTAAATAATCTTAGAAAGTACATATAACTCGGTGAAAGTCACATTGGTACTTGCTGTTGGTAGGTTTCGAACCCGCACCCATTCATTCATACATGAGAAGCAGAGGTCTTAAACCTCCGTCCGGGTCGAGAAAATTTTAGAACGTAATAAACAACAAATTCAGTCCTTTCTCTTCTCTTGGATCAAGTACAAAACAATAACTTTTAAAAGCTTATTTAATTTTTTTTTATCTTAAATGCATTTGTATTCAAGTTAATTAAATAAATAAATATATACAACTTAAAATATAACTAACTAAAAACTAAAATATTTACACATTAAAAAAAGTAATAATAATTATAAATATTTTAGCTTTTAGTTAGTTATATTTTAAGTTGTATATATTTATTTATTAAATTTGTTTTTTAAAAAAAAGTTGCCCCACATTAGGATTTTCTCCGACTTTTTATCGACTTCAAAAAAAGGAGGAATTACTATGTTCGGCTGATTGTTTTTTATTTCTTTAAAAACGTTTCCCCATACTAGGATTTAACCTGTGTCGTGGGTGCGTTTACAAACATACAAGTTCACAGAAAACGTTGCCCCACATTAGGATTTTCTCCTGTGTCGTGGGTGCGTTTACAAACATACAAGTTCACATACACAATGACACCCAGACCCGAAACAACAATTTGTGGATCACACAAAGTGTTGTTCCGTGCGGGAATCGAACCTGCGACACGTTGCACGGCAGCCGGTTGCCCAGCCACCGCACCAACCGTGCAGTCCATTTTTTTGATAATATTACTGGACTACTCACATCAAAACGGCATCCTTTTCGACGATAAGAGCAGGTGTCCTAAAGGGCAGGCCATATATCCTATGAGTAAGGTACTTGTATAGCAGGTCGCAGTTCTTGTCTTCCTTGGCGCTGGTGTAGAACAGTGCAGCTCCGTACTGTAGACAGAACCTTCGGATCCATTGCTGCATGAAGTCAAAATTCTCGTCGCGATAATCGTGTTCTTTCTCTAGAGTGCTCATGTAGTCAGTCTGTGGAAGTTAAGGAGGAGGGTTTAAGTGGAAAAGTTTAAGGTATTCTGAAGCGAATCACAAACTTGTACATTCTTAGAGACAAAACATGGCCGAATTTAGATACTTCGGTCGAATGTAGATAATTTTTTTTTTACTTTAGAATTTGACTATTGAATTGAAGCAGTGGGTGAGGTTACGGGAGGCCTTATCATCCCCCCCCCCCCCAATTTTCCAATCCCTAAAAGACCGGCAATGCACTTATATGTCCTCTGTTGTGCAGGGTGTCCATGTGCGGCGTGAATTGCTTACCATCTGACCAGACCAGGTGACTCGTCTGCTCGTTTGCTGGCCTAACCCAGTAATAAATGTGGGAGAGCCAAGTAAGGGTGGGAGAGTCATGCTTCGGCACGAATGGGCCGGCTCGACCGGAGTGATACCACGGCCTCACAAAAAAAAAGACGTGAAACAACGCTTGCGTTGTGTGAGTGAGGTTACCGGAGGCCCAATTACCTCTCGCCCCTTCCCTAGTTTTCCCAATTTCTGAATCCCCAACAATCCAACCCAAAGAATGTGAATTCTTAATCCCCGAAATGCCGGTAACGCACTTGTAACGCCTCTGGTGTGCCAGGTGTTCATGGGCGGCCCCGATTGCTTACCATCAGGTGATCCGTCGGTTCGTTTACCGGCTAATCTCATAAAAATATTACTTATAACTAAATAAATAACTTGCCTTAGTTGCCACAACTACAATATCAAGACCTAGATTAGTAGTAAGTACTCCTTCTGGTAATGGGCTGTCGTCATCGTCCCCGTTTTCGAAGTCGTCCGATAGGTTTCTGGAGGACCTCTTCATGGGGGACGAGGCTGTGGGCTCCAGCTCGTCTCCTGGCTCCGTATACCTCTGCCATTTCTGTACTTGTTGCTTTTTACTTTGTAACCTTTGTTCTGTAACAAGAAAAACGAAGGTTAATGTGAGAAAATATTTAGTTTTTTTATCGGTTATAGATAGGTGTTTGGCCGCTATTTCTTTTGATGGCGTTGACAGAAGTGACGATGCGGCCTACGATAGAGCACATCTTCCCATAAGCAACCTATTCACACGAGACTTGAAGGTACCCAGGTTGTACTCTTCAGGTAACACAGACTCAGGGCAAAGCGTCCCATTGCTGTGCGCATAAAAAACTTGAAGCGAAGCGTTTTGTTCAGGAGGGTAGACCATCTAGCATATAGCGGTGACGTTTGTTTGTCTGGCAGTGCAATGATGAAGTGGACTGGGAGGAATCAAGTTGTGCAATACCCACACTCTCGATGTCAATTAATCTCAAATTATATTTTTACAGATTCAGGACCAATAAAGTAACCAGCGGTATCAAGATGGTATCTAACAGATAAATTTTAAACTGTGGAAGAAAACCTGGATATCAGGTTAAAAAGAGTAAAGTCATTTACTCTTTAAGCGACACCTGACGTGCGCAAATATGGATAACACCATTATAAAATATAATGCATGCATATAAAAAAGATCTTGTCATATTACATTATATTCTATCTAACCTAACAAACTGACTCAGCCGCCTATACAGTAAGACATAAGACTCACAATTAATTAAAAAACACACTTATTACCATAAACATAAAAATGCACCTGAACAAACAAATCATCTCGTAGACGATTCATACACTTACTGATCTATTTACCCAGTTAGTCCTGTTATTCGGTGTAGTAGTACAAAAATTGATTCGGTGGAGAGTACAGTAACCATTGGTTGACTACTGAGCTGACCAATGGTTAAAAAACCATAAACTTTGTTTAACAATAACAATAGCTACTGTTTTTTAAGAAGGGGAATCATCGAATTACTGCTCCAGTTTGGGTGAGGCGCGAGGGAGTGTCAGACTCTTACTGACTAAAACCACCCTTTCCTACTCCATAACCAACACGTTCTCCGCGGCTCCGTAAACAATATCTACTGTATCTGTACTAATTAAATCTTTATTTCCTTACCTGTATATCAAATAACTGGGTTGATTGTACATGTAGTGTATGTATATTCGATCTATTTAGTGATACAGCTATTCCGAAGACTTAACAATTAAGATTCCGTATAGCAAAAAACTGAGGAAAATTAATTCAATACAAACATATTGCGCATGCGCAGTTATCGACTACACACTTTGAGTGGTATTTCGTGTAATTAACATTACATATTGTATGTGTATTTGCTGGTAATAATATTTGAGAAACCGGACATTTTTATTGTATTTTCGAAAGTATGTTTGTGATTTTTTCTTTATTTATGCATGTTTTTATAATAACTATCGTGAGACATACTAAATTAACTAAAATCGCGGGATACTCACGTGAATATAGTGTGAAAAGTGCTACTAGTTTCGAACCACAGAGGGGTTCTACCTGATGAGCAGCGTGCGTGGTCGCGGCGACGTCGCGCAGCTCACTGCACGCTCACTCACACAGCACTGCTCATGAGGAAGAACCCCTCTATGGTTCGAAACTAGTAGAGCTTTTCTCAGTATTTGAGAATGCTGGCATTTTTCTTAGTTTTTGGCACATTCCTCGACTGGAAGAAAGGAAATATTCGTTTTTGGTTGAAATATTCGCGTTCAGGAAGATTATTTAGATTCGTGCTAGTCTTAGCAGCACTGGCGTAACTATACCGTTCGGGGCCCGTGGCAAATTTATCGGATGGGCCCCCGTTCCCAATAAAACAGAGAAGTTGCAATGAAAACCTTTGAACCTTCTAGCTGGAGGCCCGTGGCGTTTTGCCAACCTGCCACCCCTTATGCAATGCAATGACCCCAATGCAATGTTTATAATGCTATAAGATAGACAGCATTCCAGCAATTGTAAGTAGTCAAAAATTTTAACTGTTTGTCGTCATGATATCAACTTCACACAGCTCACACGATTGGCTGCGGTCTATAGTATGTGAAATCTATAGTAACTACTTAAAGATTTCAAAAGAATCTAGAACCAGACTTTATTGTAAAAGAAAGATTTCAGCTAAAACAATGCTCCTGAAATAATAATCGAGTAGTTTTACACGAAGATGTGCAGCACGCACTGCGCTAATTGTGCCATTAGTCATAATATGTAATAGAGAGCTGGCTTACTGTCATGAAGTCGAGCTAAAAATCCAGTCTAGATTCATAACTACGAAATCGTACCAGATAACTAGGAAAATAAATATTCTTGTCAGACTCTTCCCTTTTTAGTTCTACTCATTAGATACAGATTCGGCTTAATATGCCCTAATAATAATAAGAGTCTTTAACGAGGGTCGACGGGCGGCCCGGTTTACGACGCCCTCATGCTTCCTGATGAACTTACAGCAAACAAACAATAAACGTAGGTTTCAGGTAGGTAGGTACTCGGAATAAGTGACATAGGTACTTGCTGTTGCTACCAACATGTTATTTCTAAGATTAATTTGACACCACCCGCATTGAGCAAGTTTGACGATTAATGCTCAAACCTTCTCCGTGTGAGAAGAGGCCTTTGGTCAGCAGTTGCAGGCTGTTGATGTTGATGCCCTAATAATTCTAAAAAAGATGTGTATTCAATACCCCCCACCGGTGATGGATATTTGAAAGGGGGTTGTCTGAAAGTAAATGGTTCTATTAAACTGCAGAGTGAGATGATTGACTGCGTTTAAGCAAAACTTTGTGAATCATCTCCTAAAGCGCTCTTATCATAATAATATATTAACACAGGGTCTGCCCACGTCTAGGACTAGTCACAAACTCCGTAGAGCTTACAAGTATTTTCCAAGGACACGATGCAATAAAAGTCTATCCATAGCTAAACAGTATGACGTTCATTCGTTTATTGCTTGCGAAGGATGACGTCACTGCCATAAAGAGGGGTGAATATTGCGTGCACCGGGCCAAAGCAACCGGAGACGCAGACAGAAGGGGCGCGACAGTATACGTAGGTAGTATGTATGTACCTAAGCAATTTGGAAGCGATCAGGGCCAACTAAGACGCGGTCGATTTTTGAAGACACGTTGGGGAAGTCTGTTGTTTTTTCTATGGTATATGGTTGGCAAACAAGCCTACTGATTACCTGGTGGTAGGTAGTCGATGTCGTCTATAGACTAGACAGGTTAGGGTTTGGAAAATGGGGGAGGTTATGCCTCCGATAACATTACACACAATGAAAAAATGCAAGCGTTATTTCACCCCGGTTTTCTGTTAATAATTAAGTACTAAGAACTGTATTATTGTACGATCATAACCTCGCAAGAGATTCATCAATTTTTTACATTGTTTTGCTGTCTACTTCTTTTGTGCGTAGTCCGATTACTAGTTAGATAAGTGTCAAGTTTCATTTTTGGAAATGTAATTTGTATGTAGTTGTTTTCATGTAAACAAAGACAAATGACACCTAATTAAATATGATTTTTTTGTCGAACATTGTTAGGCTGAGGTTCATATGAAAGAAACGTATAGGTAAGCAAATCGAGAAAGTCGATGAGTAGCAACCGAGGCGAAACGGGGCGGGTCGCTAGACAACAGAATTATCCATCAGTTTGTAAAACTATACATAATGTAACACGTACCAGCAGAACTATTTATCAAAGACATTAATTGTACCTACTTTAAATAAATAATGCGTAATATGTATTGGCATCTTAAGATCAACGACTTGTGACAAATTAATCGGTGTCTATATACACTCACCGGCACGGAAACTTGGCCACCAACTAAATCGCCGATAATTTCTATTTAAATATTAAATTTTCACTATATTATGGGTTTATGCACTAAATTAGAGTTTTTTCATGGTTTAGTAACTCAGTTATTGAAAAATTGATGCACCAGCAGCAATCTTTTAAAAAATAAGCATTTTCACAGAAATATTGATTTTAACACTGTAAATTTAAAATGAACACAAAATGTAAAATAAACATAAAGTCTTCATTGTTTTTGCATTTTAATATTGGGTGTTTCCTCCCCTAGCCCTGATAACAGCTTGCATTTGTTCTGGCATACTTTGGATGATGTTTCTGATCTCAACTTGTGGTATGCTTTCCCAAGCGGTCAGTGCTGCATTTCGAAGCTGGTTCAGAGTTTCAGGCGGGTTGGAGGACTTTATTTTTCTTTTAAGCATGTCCCAGATATGCTCTATTGGATTTAAGTCTGGACTGCGAGCTGGCCACTGCAATTTTTGAATACCAACCTCTGTAAGGTATTCCTCCACGCAATGTGCTACGTGTGGGCGCGCGTTATCGTGCATTAGGAGGAATTCGTTGAACCCAAGAAACCCCGAATATGGCAACACATGTTCCTGAAGAATCTCCTCGATGTATCGTGTTGCCGTTAATCGGTTATCGATGATAACTAACTCCGTACGTGCATCGGAACTTATTCCTCCCCAAACCATTATAAAGCCTTCATGAAAACTAACAGTTTGTCTGGTGGTAATGGGTAAAAACCGCTCTCTTGTTCGTCTCCATACTCGCTCCCGACCATCTGGAGCTCGTAAAGCGATTCGACACTCATCTGTAAACAGTACTCGAGCCCACTGCTCTTGGGTCCAGTTGACGTGTTCTCGTGCGAATAGTAGTCGAGCTACTCGGTGACTTCTGAGAAGTTCTGGGCCACGTGCTGGTCTACGAGCTTTTAAATTCACTTCCTCTATTCGTCTTCTCACTGTACGTTCACTAACATTGACACCTCTTGTGAACTGGAGTCGCCGGCGTATCTAAATAGCGGTGAGGTAGCGGTTTTTCAAAATTTCTAGGACAATAAAGCAATCATCCCTGGCTGATGTGCATCTGACACCTCGGCTGCCTGGTCTCCGGGAGTAGCGGTCTGTCTCCTGGTATCGTTTCAGCGCATACTGCATCGATGAACGTGGTACATTCAGAATAACAGCAGCATCTCGCTGTGTCAGCCCTTGTTCGATCAATGCTACAGCTTG